TCGAGGTCGGCTTCACGAGATTTGTGGGAAGAGATCTATTCGGCACCAGATTTAGCGGGATTTGAGCAAAATTTTGACAGGGTTCGTGGATCCGATGGGTACAAGGTATGTATGTGGGATTTCTACCTTCTTCCCTTCTTGTTCTTTATACAGAGGTTAACAAATCACGAATCTCACAAAAATATTTTATTTTATGTTCATATGAGGTCTTCAATGCTACAAAGAAATTTTTCTTTTTAAAAAAAGCAAACTCTCTTTCCTTTCCCACAAGATACAATCACATGTTCTAATCTCCAAACCCAATCTTCTACATATGAGAGTAGAATCAGCAAGGTATATAACGAAATAATATTTAAATGGACTTAATTAATATGTGAAGTTGTGAACCCGATCTTATATAAGCAATGAAGCAGAGTCGACAAGATTAAAATCGATCAAGTTCAACCATGCATAATTCCCCTATAATGGGTGTGACTATTGTGGGTCATAAAATGAGGTTCTACTTAAAAAAAATAAAGCTCTCAAATTGCAAATATAAATGCTTCAAACAACCTTAGTCTGATGATGGTTGCATTGAAAGAAAATGTCAACCAAAGGAGATATCATTTTTAAATGCCCTCATATCCCAAAGCAATAATTTTGAGCCCAAATCTACAAAATATAAGAAGTCAACATATATATATATATATATAAAAGCATTTAAGCAAAAAAACATCATTTAAAGATTAAAGAAATAATTCATCCACTCTCAACAATAGTTGTTGAGGATGATAACTTTGAGGTAATCTCATATCACAAAGAGCCAATGTCATATTAACTGTATCTCCATTATCACTTTCAAAAGTTTCATGTAGTAAGGATGTGATACGTATCTTTTGAACAAATAGTTTGGTCACAAAATGGCACTTCAAATGAACAATTATGATCGTGGTTTTCTAACCAAGTGGTTCATTGCAAAATGTCATCATTAAATAATGGTCTCGATAATCCCAGCCTCCCGAAAAGTTCCCAAATGGCTCAATCCTCTGAGTATTAAATTGAATTGTGTACTTGATAAAGCACGAATCCCTCTATTAACTAAGATCAACTTAAAAGTATCCCTTTGGATGACCATCAAACCTAGATATACAAGATTCTCTTGGAGAAGCAACCTATGGTTAGGTTGGTCGGCTACTTCCATTGACTAAATAAACTAGGGTCATATGATCTTAACTGATTTCGTCGTGATCACCCCCACCATTTGCTCTGAGGTAAAGACCGTGCAATTTCCTCAATCATAAACCAAGTTATTGCTATTATAAACAAAGCATTTAGCACCTACCGACTATCCTTCATAAAAATTCTCTCTCGTGATTAAGAAGAGTAATTAACCACAAGGTTTGTGCTTATGGGAAACTTAAAAAACAAATCATAAAGTTCTAATGAGGGCAAAATCTCCTGATAATATTTTATTTGATATATAATTCACCTTCTGAAAATTTTAACCTAAACAAACTCTCATGAAAGGGTTGGGCGTCAATCTTCTGAGCCCATACTCACAAGAGATGGCCAACCATTTGGTATTTTAAAACCAACATGCTTGGCAACTATGCGAACTATGCAATATGCAATGAAAACCAAAGCTTTGTGTGTCTCAACAATCTTCCTTTCATGAGAGGGATCGTCAAATTATTCAACGTTCCCCCTCAATCAAAAGCTTTATCAAGTATAATGACAAAGAATTTGCTCGCACGAATAAATCTATCATGTGAATCACCCAATATGAATTTCGTTCAACCACGACAGAACCCACTAAAAATCCATGAGAGCCACAAACTACATGAACCTTCGATTCCAACCAAACCATAGGAGCTGATAGGACTGTTAGGGAGTCCAAGATAAAGGGGGTCAAAGTTAGACAAAATACACCAATGCTCAAACTCATCTTTAACTCAAAGGCTTAAGCTTATAGGTGAGGATTTCCACATGACACTTCAGCCGACACATTTTAAAAGTATTTAAGGTGACACTAAGCCTAAAGCTTTATCCACCTTAATAAAGCTAACCAGAAATAACAAAAAATAAGAATCCAAAGGATAGCCCAATCCCTTGACCATGTCAACTTGTAGTCTAAAACCTAAAAACTATATAAATGGACTATATTTGCAGAACTAGGATTCAAAATTTAAGGACATAGTATGATAGTGTTCGACATTAACCCTAAATTATTCAATTTCGCATATTCTCCTAGATGACAACAAATAACAGTATAGGAATCACTTTGAGTAGAAGACAATTTCCGACCTATAAAAAATTAAATTTTTAACCCATACACAGATATGATCACAACCCTTTGGAACCAATAACTAATTGTCTCATATCAATGCACCTCGTAAGTTAAGCATTTGACAAATTATAATGATTAATTAGACTAGTCCGCTAGGGGAATGTTTGTTAGTGGGTTTTAAGTAAGAATTTTGGCATGATTTATCGCAAATCTTGCCAAATGGTGAAATCCATGAATAATCCTACAGGATCATAAATCCAATTCATACTCAATTTCACTATAAATCCAGGATTTACTAAATCCCATCGTTCGGTAGATTTAATGAGATTTACATGAATATGGAATACTCTCTTGCATCCTTATCATTGAGCAGCCTCAAAACCCCCATTTCTATAGCTTGATGATAGCCTTATCTCCACACCCCATTGTCATGTCGTCTTTGCTTACAACAAAGTTGTTAAGATAGCATTCGCACTTCCGCAAAGCTTCCCTTCTTCCTCCACATAATTTCATCAAATTAGGTATATACCCTACCCATAGCAATCTCTTGCTATTTATCCCTCATTCTCTTTGGGTAGAAAACCTTATACTCCTCACTCGGCTGGACCAACCCCTCATCGAACCCATCACCGGAGGTCACCGAAACATCTTCAATTTGGCAAAGGCTTCAACGCCTCATTTACCACTGATCTCCTCATTGAGTATGAAGGAGATGACAACAAGAATGTTTTGGGTCATTGACCTCCTCATGACCATTTGGCAAAGTCATTTTAGTTCATACCAAGGAGTTGTGAACTACTCTACTGCATTTGTAGCTTTTTTTTTTAATTATAACTGATTTTATTTAACATTTCTAAAACGCTGCTGTCAATGTCAACTTTTTCTTAGTCATTATAGTTGCATTTCTTTAAATAAGTATGTTCCAATTTTTTAGTATCATTTTCTTTCATGTTTATTAGATGTTTAGTTGGTGATTGCATTCAACTTTGCTATAAAACTATTGGAATATTACCATTATTATTTGCATATGATTCTTCATTCATTCATTTTATCCTTTGTTTAATTTTGAGTTCATTTGGCATGGTTTTATATTGGCTTCTTATCCTAAAATAGTAGAAATAAGAAGAGTTTGTTAGGAAAAATAATTACGGTGCATTGCCTCAAACTTGGCCATCAATTTCTCTTTGGAGAGCTGCTATTATTTGGACCTGATTTCTACATAATTACTTTGTATTTCCGTACATATTCAAGTTGCCAAAATAATTTTGTTTGTTCGCCAAGATTCCTTATTCTTCTTCACTATTTAAGTAGTTGGGCTCCAACATAGATATACCACTTGTATCTGTATTTTTTTTGTTTTGGGTTCTTTCATCTTTAAACCCAAAACTGAATGAAAAAATGAAAATTGATGTGTTCTAAAAGATTCTATTATATCGGTTTTAAGATAGTTTTGATTTTTTTGGATTGGCATCATGCAACCGCAATTCTTGTGGACATTATTTTAAGAGTAACCAAGTTTAAAATTAGGGAAGTTTGAACGTGAATGATCCAGAAGCTGCACTATGCGCTGAAAATTCAATCGAACAAGGGAAACTTAATAGCTATGTCATGCACAAGTGAAGAAAAACTGAAATAGGAAATATTATCATGGCAATGCATTTTGGGTTTTAGACTCTTTCAGTTATCATTAGTCATCAATATCAACTACCTCCACTATAGTCGGTATGAATGTCACCATATGAAATGTTAAAAAACCTCCGATGTAATTCCTATACTATTTTAAAAAATTTTATAGGGTGGCATTATCATTACATCCTAATCCCAAAAGGTGGTTTGCTTCTTGCAGAATAGATATGAAGCGATTTCTTAAAATCAAGGCTTTGTAATGTGGAAATTCCAACAAGCACCCATGAGTTGATGAAGAGGTCTTGAATTATATTGGTCAACTGCAAAGCATTACCTTAACTCCTACAAGCCTAGAACATTGTTCTGGGTGAGCTTCTTTGAGCAGTCCCTCTACGAAAATGTATCAAATAGTGTATTAACAAAAGAGTTATGGTACATCATTTTGAATGTCATGAACCGAATCTAGGCACAAATTACATATAAGAGATTGTTATGAGAATATTTAATAAAAGTCAAATTTAGAATACTATACCGACTCTCAAATTGAAACACTTGAGGTGAGATGAACTACATATTCCAATAGTGACTGATGAGATGTGGGATGAGATCATTCAGGTATGTTTTTGCTTTTGTTCTTCCCTGTTTTATTATTCAAACAGTTGTGTACACATAATTGTGTGATTTCACTTAAACTAAATGTGTCCTGAAGGATACCATCTGATTACTTGAAAATGCTAAAACTTAAATGATATGTACTTTTTTTTTCCTTTTACGGTTCTCAAGTAAGCATTCTTCATAGCTTCAAATATATAAATCATGAAGTTAACCGCAATAATACTTGAAGTGAATAGCCAAATAGTTTGTCAGGATTTATCAAGATTTAACAAATATCATGCCAAACAGTTTTCAGTATTTATCAGCCTCATAATTTGATAAATACTGACTTATAGGATTTACCAATCCTACTTGACTTAAAACTTAATTGCAGCCAATACAGGATTTAATATGAATCAACCCAAAAGAGGTTTTGCAGTTCTAAATTCAGCAGCAAACTCCAGGAACCTAATAAGGAACAAAGTAACGGATATCTGAGGAAAACAGAGCTAACCTGCTTGGCGAGGAGCTCGCGCTCAATGTTTCCAGCGACGAAGAAGGGATCGTGCGGTGCGAATCTTCGCCGAACCGCTATCCAGTGCGGAAATTCTAAACCAGACGCCTCCATCAAGGAGCGTTTGAATTTGAACTTGAATCAATGCTTGGTAAAAAAATTCGTAGGTTGTAAAGGTAGTTCTCTTAGGGCTAGTGCAACGATCGGCATAGAGTCGTTCGAGGAAAAGGAAATTTAAGTAAATTTATGAAATGTATAATCAATATTTATTATTTTATTATACTCAAGTAAATGATGCCTTTAAAAAATTTTATCAATTTTTAGAAAATGATTTCTAAGTTGACGATAACCAGCGACTGCTTTGTTATAATTTTTTAAAGCAGTTTTTTAATAAAAAAATTTAAAATTTTTTATTTTTAAAAAAAAAATTAATTTTTTACTAAAAAAAATCACTTTAAAAAATAGTAAAAAATATCATCCTAAACCAAACATTAGTATAATCAAACCTTAGATTTTTCATGCATGAAATTATTATATCATAGTTTATATTTTGCATTAACTTTGATTTAATTTATATTATTATATATAAATTATAAATTTTTATTTTTTTTAACTTTTGAGCCAATTAAGTGGTTTGTTTAGTTAAAAGTACAATAGGCGAAAAGTATTCCGAATTAAAGGGTTTTAAAAATATTAACATTTGGCCGAATGAAAAAGGAATGTAAAGTAGAGTAAATTAAATTTAGTATAAACTATTTTAGTTGAATTTTTAGGTAAACTAAACTCGCCAAAAATTGAGTTAGAACTATTTACATTGCAAGTAAGCTCGTTTGGCAACCACCCGCCGTCGCCCACCACCATTGGCCGACACCACCACCTGCATTATCGGTCACCGATCACCAGCACTTGTCGTTGGTCCTAGCCAACCTTCACCTGCCGCCGGCGACCACCATCGCCACCTTTTATCCCCTCCCACAGCCACCCGCCATATGCGGTCATTGCCGCCATCCTCTGACAGTTAACGTTAACCACCACCATCGTCAACAGCCACCACCACCAACAGCTACTACCTGTCATTTGCGTCGGAAGCCGCCGGCGACCACTGTCGCTATCTACGCTAGCCGCCACTGGCCACCACCACTGTCGAACGACTCCATCTTTAGACTTTATACTACATTCACTTTACTTTAAAACAAATCAAAAAAAGATTCACATTCATTTACTTTACACTCATCCAAATAACTTCAAAGTATTTTTTTCTTGCATTACATTCATTTTTCACTGCATTACTTTTATATAGCGTTCTTTTTTTAGTCATTCAAACAGCCCAGACTAACTCACACACACATCACATATGCAAGCTTCAAATTCAAAATCTCTTGATTGATAGTCAATGTTCTCAACCAACAAATCAAGATGAGTTGCATATAAAATAATATTTTATCTAGCAAAAATTTTAACTTTTAAATATGTATCTCAAAGTAATTTGAAATTGTTCAACTTAATCGAAAAGTAAATTAACTAAAATCAGCATAAATGCATTTGATAACAATTGTCGTCTTACATCAACTTTGAGAGCAAAATAGTCATGTTTCAACTAAACCCATTTATGACGATCCAATCCTTATCAAGCCTATATCGCTCAAATTGAGACAAAAAAAAATGGCCATAATATTATTACATATGCCCCTCAAATTTGTTAAAGAACGATGAAACCACAAAATTGTTGCCACTAATTGACACTATGAAATTTAAGTCCATCCGCATCATGTGATTGGAATATGTTCATGTACAACTTAGATTATTAAGATAATTGATTTGTGGTGTAATAATAAAATATCAACATTTGTTGGTAACTACATATTAAGGCTCATAAGCTAGCCCTTATAAGACCATGTATTTACTACTTATACCTGCACTGTGCAAGCTATATAAATCCATGTACTCTCCACTACACATCAGGAAAATAGATTAATCTTCTCTGTTTCTTTATCTATTTCGTCTCTTCCAACTCTACATGGTATCAGAGCGGGTACAATCCTGAGCGAGAAAAGAAAATGGCGGAAGCTTCATCTGCCGTTTCCAATTCGGCAAACACTCAAGGTACCGCGTCTCAACATCAATCCATCTCTCCCTCCCTCAAGTTCATCATCTCCCACCTCAAGACTCTTGTTCCCAATCAATTGTCAACCGACAAATACCCGATCTGGAGAAGCCAGATCGTCAAACTGCTGAGAGCAAACGGCTTCGTTCATCTTCTTGAATCACCACGTCAATCGGCGTCGGACGCTCAAATTCAGCAAACGGGTGATTCCACTCAATCCACGCTATCTTTCGATCAAATTAACACCGATCGCAATCTTGCTGCTACGATATGTTCCACAGTTTCACCTACGATCCTACCATACATTCTACATCTTTATTCGCTGCATGAAATCTGGCGAGTTCTTGAGACCAGATTCCAGTCTTCAAACCGATCCAAGGTTATACAGCTCAAAAATGAGCTTCATCATATCACGATGGGATCTTCGATGATGGCGCAATACCTCACCGAGATCAAGAAGCTAGTGGATCAAATTGCTTCCGCCGGCTCCACGGTAGACAACGAAGACATCATTCTTCATATCTTGAATGGTCTTCCATCAACATATCAATCCTTCAAAACCTCAATCAGGACAATGTTGCACCCCATAAGTCTTGATACTCTATATGCGCTACTCATTAGTGAAGAAATTCACGTTCAAAATGATACGTCAAGAATACCGATGGGCATATAAGATTTTCAAACGAATCAAGTGAACAGATCATCCTCATCGTAACCTCTTATCTGCCAGATCTGCAACAAGAGGGGACATACAGCGGACGTATGTTGGCATAGGCTAAATGCTAGTTACACTCCGTCCGATCGCTCCACTCAGCAGAACACGGCGCAAATGGCAGCTCCAAACGCTCAGCCCACTGACTGGTATCTCGACTCTGGGGCATCCTCACATATGACTAGAGAGATCGGTAATCTTGAAACAGCATCAAGTTATCAAGGATTGCTTTCGGTAACTATCGGGGACGGAAGATCCATACATATAGCTCACTCGGGCACAGGGCTTCTTCCTACCCCGTCTCGTACTCTCTTACTCTCTCAATTACTGCATACTCCATCAATTTCGTATAATCTACTTTCTATTTCTAATCTTGTTAAAGACAACAACATTTCGATTATTTTTTACTCTAAGGGTTTCACATTTAAAGACTCAAAGACGCAGGAAATTCTGCTTCACGAACCGTGTAGGAACGGTCTATATCCGCTACGGTCGGCACCTCAGAGACAGTTGCAACAGGCTCTCACTGCATCAAGCTCCGGAGCTAGGATATGGCATAATAGGCTGGGTCATCCTCATATTAGGGTGCTCAAGCAAATCGCCCAAAATAACTCTGATCTTTGTATTCCCAGTTTTAAATTTTCTTGCGTTTCTTGTATCATGTGCAAAGGACATAAGTTTTCGTTTGAACATTCTACCAACCGAAAGCTTAAGCCCCTTGAACTATTTCATTCAGATGTTTGGGGACCATCTCCGATCCCCTCTCATCAAGGTTTTAGATATTATGTTTTGTTCGTTGATGATTTTACTCGTTTCACTTGGTTGTTTATAATTTCGGCTAAATCTGATGTCTACCAAATATTCACTAACTTTGTTACATATATCGAAAATTAAACGCATCATAAAATTCTATCTATTAGAACAGACGGCGGCACGGAATATACAAATCATCAATTCAAGAACTATCTCCGAGAAAAAGGTATTCATCCTCAGCTCTCATGCCCTTATACGTCGGAGCAAAATGGCACCGCGGAGCACAAGCACCGCCATATTATGGACACCGCTAGAACACTCCTTCAAACTGCTCATATGCCGCACAAGTTCTGGCCGGATGCGGTAACTACGGCGGTTTACCTCATAAATCGCCTTCCATTGCCCACAACAAGTAACACCTCACCTTTTCAATTATTGTTTCGCACAAAACCATCGTACCAACACTTGCGCACGTTTGGTTGCACCTGCTATCCTCTTTCTCCTACTCACACTCGAACCAAGCTGGACCCAACCATAATGCCAAGTGTATTTCTCGGATATTCCAATTCATATAAAGGTTACAAGTGTCTGAATATGAAATCTAACAAGATTTTCATATCTCGTCAATTACAATTTCTTGAACACTCATTTCCTTTTCAAGAATCGAATGTTTTAGATACTCCGTCGACACAGTTATCTCAACCATCTCTTCTTGTCCCAGCCTCTACACTTGTGACATCTCAGCACGCAAGCAATTCAGAGAACATAAATCAATCTAGCTCCTCCCAGCTGACTACTTCAACCACATCTCCATCTTCAAATAGTTCCGACAACACTCAATCAACTACATTGCCAAGTCCTGCACCGGTTCCTCATCCCAGGCACCACTTGACAACAAGATTTCAGATGGGCTCACTGAAGCCAAGGGATCATCTAAATATACTACATATTCAGTCCAACAACATCTGTACTCCAGAACCCTCCACAATTGCAGAAGCATATAAACATAACGAATAGCGTCAAGCCATGGCGGCAGAGTTTCTGGCTCTTCAGAAACAGGGAACCTGGTCTCTGGTTCCACCTCCTAGCAATGCGCTCATTCTGGGATGTAAATGGACATACCGTAATAAGCTTCACTCGGATGGCTCCATAGCACTTTACAAAGCCAGATTAATGGCACAAGGTAATCGCCAAGAACACGGCCTCGACTACGGGGAAACCTTTAGTCCGGTCGAAAAACTACCAACCATTAGAGTCCTATTCACCATCGCTTTGCATCATGGATGGACGGTACAGCAGCTAGACGTTACGAACTCATTTCTTCATGGCACACTCACATAATCTGTATACATGCGCCAACCCAAGGGATTCGAGGACACTACCTATCCGTCTCATGTATGCCACCTCAAAAAGGCGATCTATGGGCTAAGGCAAGCGCCACGACAGTGGTACATGACCTTCACGGATTACCTTCTCACCATTTGGTATCAACACAGCAAGGCCGATCCATCCTTGCTCTCTTTCATCCAAGATCAAACTCAAATCTATCTACTAGTATACGTGGACGATATCTTGCTAACAGGAAATAATACAGGAGACATCAATGCTCTCATCAGCAAACTTCAGTCCAAATTTGACATGAAAACACTAGGACTTGCAAATCCCTTTCGACATCAAGATCACCTCCACACAAGATACGTTCTTTCTCTCCCAAGAAGCTTATGCTATGTCTATCTTACATCAAGCTAATTTAGTAAACTGCAAACCTCTTGCAAATCCCCTATCTACTAAACAACCAAAAATTATCGATTCATCTATTGCCAGGTTCAATCCAACGGAATATAGAAGCCTAACGGGATCTTTGCAGTACTTAACTCTCACCCGGCCGGATCTTGCTTACGCAGTGAATTGGCTCTCTTAATACATGCACGACCCAGCTCCAGTTCATTCGCTGCTTCTCACCAAGCTAATTCGCTATGTCAAGGCTACAATCAGCTACGGCATTCCGATATCCAAGTCCAATCTTCAGATGAGAACGTACTCCGACGCCGACTGGGCGGGAGATCCAACTACCAAAAAATCCACCTCATGATTTTGTACATTCCTCGGTGACACTTTGGTCTCGTGGTCAGTCAAAAGATAGTCCACCGTAGCAAGATCTTCAATGGAAGCGGAATACAGAGCATTGGCGGCCGCCACGGCTGACACTATTTGGCTCAAGCGCCTTCTTGCCGATTTTCAAATTCAGCATGATGATCCGATTGATCTATTTTGCGACAACACTTCGGCCATCGCGCTTGTCAACAATCCCATCTTTCATGCTCGAACCAAACATATTGAGATCGACCACAGATTCGTGCATGAATAAATTCAACACAATCATATCAACATAGTTCCGATTTGTACTGTTGATCAAATAGCCGATGTTCTTACGAAACCGCTCTCCGACACTAGATTTCAGCTCCTTCGCTCCAAATTGACGGTTACCCAAGACCCGTCAATTTGAGGGGGAATATTAAGGCTCATAAGATAGCCCTTATAAGACCATGTATTTATTACTTATACCTGCACTGTAGCAAGCTATATAAAGCCATGTACTCTCCATTACACATAAGGAAAATAGATTAATCTTCTCTGTTTCTTTATCTGTTTCGTCTCTTCCAACTCTACACTACATATTTTTATTCTTTTTAAGGACTAAGACTTCATTTGGGATGGCTTTCTCAGTAAGAAAGTCGCCTAAACGAAGCCTAAATTAACCCTTATGAGTCTATAAATAATAATATGTTTTAGCTTTCAAAAGGAAAGAACTCTAAAGAATTCTTTCTCCATAATAATGCTTATGTTGTAATAGTTGTGTCATACATGAGAAATAGTACTATGACAACTCAAGAGGTGGGGTGAATTGTGTTGTGCACTAATAAGAGCGAATATATATATGTATATATAATTTCACTTTGTAAAAAAAGTTGTGATACGAGTGTAACATAAAAAATTAAGCAAATCATAATAAAGAGAACACATAAATTTTATGTGGTTAACGCCTACTCTACGCCTAATCCATCCCTAAACTAAGATTCAACTAACAACAAAAAAGATTACACCAACCGTCTCTTCTTAACACAAGGAAGAAACAACCTCAAACAACGGTGAGAACCTCACAACAATATTACAAGTCACAAAAGAAAGGAAAAAAATAAGTGTAACACATTATATCTCATAAAAAAATAATTTTCAAGAATTTGCACTCAAGCCCCTCACAAAAATAAAGTTTCAATAACGCAAAAATAAATGAGTTTGATCACTGTGTTTATATTATATGAAGATGCAAATATGATGAAATGAAGTTTATAAATGTATTTGCAAAGAAAAATGCAAGCAAAAAACTTTTAAAATAATTTTCCAAGACTATGTAATGTGGGAAATTAAGCAATGTAAGTACTTGAAAAATGTATGCTATTTTGTAAAATAAATATTTTTGGAAAATTTATAAAAAAATATGTTAGGATGACAGCAACTTAGCACACCAAAATTATTTGAGATTTAAATTCAAAATAATTCAAAAAATATGTCAAGACTAGTTGAAAACCATATTTAAACGAGAGGTAACTAGTCTTACAAAAATTCAAAACAAAGAGTTCTATTTATATAATTTAAAATTTTTGGAATAATATATTTAAAGACACCTTAGATGATAGATAAATAAATATATAAGACAAACCAAAGGCGATTCAAATACAAGGCAAAACCAAGTTCTACAACATGTCACTAACTCACAAAATGATATGCAATCAAAATGTTTTTATGAAATGATGTCTCCGTGGTGCCAAACTACCCAGCACCATGACAGCCAACTACGCAACGTCATTGTGCTACACTCCAATCCTAGAGTTACTATAGAATAGAGACAGTATTACCATGACGGCCATTCCCTAGCGCTGTAGTGATGCAATCAATATTTTCATATTTTTCATATATATTCATTTTGAAAATTTTGGGTTATTATAATCTCCCTACCTTAGAAAAATATTATCCTTGATAATTCCATACAAAATAGATCTGATTCGGACACCTTAATTATTAATCAAATTACACATTCATTCACTAATATGTATGCTTATGAGTTTAGCTGTTAATCGTATAATGCAATGCATTCAATAAAATAATACAATTGTGCAATAACATTTAGAATATAAAATCATACCCTT